AAACTTTTTCACAGATTTAAACAAATTAATTGCACAATTTATTTGGTCAGGAAAAAAACCACGAATTAAATTAAAATTGTTACAGGACAGTAGAGAAAAAGGAGGATTTGGACTTCCCGATTGGGAGCTTTATTATCAAGCAGCAGCTCTCACCTGGCTAAGTGACTGGATCAATCTAAAAAACAGAAGATTACTAACAATAGAAAGTTACAATTTTGAGTTTCACCTGTATATTTAGGCCACATTGAAGGTAATGATTGCTTTCTTGGAATTGGATAGCAAGGAGCAATAGAACTGGATGCCATCATTTTACAGATTATACTCTGCAACTATGTTGACCTCTCCCAGTAGTTTTATTTAAATGTTGAACAGATAGAGAGGCACCATTCCTTTACTTCAGTATACATTTACTACTGTCACGTACCCAACTTCCTATCATTCCCTGGCCACCTTCATTAACCGAGTAGGATAGAGATCTAATCCACGTGTGGCAGAGTTAATATCACAGCAGACTATGTCTCTCTAATCAGGATCCACAGGTTCCTGCTGATCCCAAATAACTCCTGAGATTGATTTGTTTGGTTATGCTGCCTACCTCAAAGCAGTGACTCAGGGCAACATATAAATTAAAACAATCCTTCAGTCCAAACGTCCAAGGTTAAGACAGTAATCCCATTTTATGTTAAAAAAAACCAACACGTTTAACCAACAAAGCTCACCCAACCTTCTTACCCTAATGGCTGTGTGGTTATCCAGGTCCTCAGAACATTACAAAAGTTAAAACACTTCACAGTGGCCCAGCTAAGAAGCTTCTGGCTTAATTTTCTTTAAAGAGAACTGAATAATGGTAAACAATGTCGCTGGATGCTTTTCCATGTGTGAAACGAGTAGAGAAGTAAGCTTGTTTTGCTTTTCTCAGCATCACAGCATAGGATCGACATTGAAGTCTTGCCTGTGTTTGATCAAATTCATTCTTCATCTTATACCAAGATTGTTTTAGGAGTCCCTTCTGTTGTTCCATTTCCTGGAGCTCCCCCCAAAACCAAGGTGCTGTCATGGATTGGTGACTAGAGAGCAATGCCAGTGTCAAGGTTCCGACTAATGAACCCAACCAATTCAGCACTCCAAAACTTTCAGCTTTGTCGAAGAACTGTTTTATTGAGTACATCATTTTGGCATAATTAAACAATAGATAATTCCCTTCCTCATGGTCACAGGTCACATTGTCCAATTAGGTGTTCTGGCATCTCCTTGGCAGCTCCCCTCAGTCTCTGGCCAGCACCTGTTGATATGACCTTGGTTCCCACCGGATGGTCTGTTGTCTGGTCTGACATTCCAGACTTCCCCACTCCCACACTGTGTGGCAATCTGAGAAACAGAAGCAATTGCTATGGTAGGCCTGATCCATTTCGAAGTTGATAGTTGGATCCCCCTAGAAAGTGAGGAGCACCTGGAAAACATCAAGCAACATTCACACATACATTAGTGAAAACCAGAGTTTCTGGGGATACTACTTGTGAAATTTCCTTATCAACCGATCTTCCTTCATATTCTGTGCCTTCACCCATTTAGCTTCTGGACATCCCTTTCATTGAACTACATATTGGAGTTTGAAGCCATTATTCTAACATTGTTTCTAATTTAGAAGACAAGAGGGTTGTTCCTCTGTCCTGGTCCTATTAGACCTCTTGGCGGCTTTCGATACCATCAATCATGGTATCCTACTGCGACGACTCGCAGGGGTGGGAGTGGGGGGCATCGTTTTGTGGTGATTCTCCTCCTACCTGTCAGTTCGATCGCCGTTCGTGTTGACTGGAGGGCAGAGATTGACCCCGAGGCGCCTCACTTGTGGGGTGCCCCAGGGGTCGGTTCTCTCATCCCTCCTGTTCAACATATACATGAAACCGCTGGGTGAGATCATCCGTGGTTTGGGGGTACGGTATCATCAATATGCTGATGATACCCAACTTTTCATCTCTACCCCAAACCACCCAAATGATGCCCTCGACGTGATGTTCCGATGCCTGGAGGCTGTACGGATCTGGATGGGGACGAACAGGTTCAAGCTCAATCCCTCCAAGACTGAGTGGCTGTGGTTCCCGTCATCCCGATTTGTGCATCTTGTACCATCTTTGATGATAGGGGGAGAAATTTTAGCCCCCTCAGAGAGGGCCCGCAAGCTGGGCGTCCTCCTGGATACGCGGCTTAGTTTAGAACACCTGACGGCCGTGACCAGGGGGCCCTTTTACCAGGTTCACCTGGTATGTCAGTTGTGCCCCTTTCTGGATCGGGATGCTCTGTGCACAGTCACTCATGCCCTCGTCCTTTCTTGCCTGGACTATTGTAACGCTCTCTACATGGGGCTGCCCTTGAAGAACACCTGGAAGCTTCAGCTGGTCCAGAATGCGGCTGCGCAGGTTATCATGGGGGTACCTAGGTGCTCCCATGTTACACCCCTTTTAGGCGACCTGCACTGGTTGCTGGTTGTTTTCCAGGTGCGATTCAAGGTGTTAATTATGATCTTTAAAGCGCTCCATGGCTTAGGCGCAGGGTACTTGCGAGACCACCTACTGCCACCGGTAGCCTTCCACCGTCCAGTACAATCCCACAGAGTTGGCCTCCTCAGGGTGCCATCGGCCAGGCAGTGTCGGCTGGCGACCCCCAGGGGGAGAGCCTTCTCTGTGGGAGCGCCTTCCCTTTGGAATGAGCTGCCCCCGGAGCTTTGCATAATTCCCGACCTCCAGTCCTTTCGGCGCGTCCTAAAAAGTTGGCTTTTCCAGCAAGCCGGCCTGGCCTGAATAAAATAAATTATTAATTTTAATTGTTAATTTTAATTTAATTTCTAAATCTCATTATAAATGTCTATTGTTTTTTTTAATATTCTGTTTAATCTTTTTTTTAACTTTTGTAATATGTGTTTTTATGTTGTACATTGCCCTGAGTCCTTTGGGAGAAGGGCGGCATATAAATCCAATAAACCTAAACCTAATTTGCCTCTTCAGTAAAAAACCCATTTTGATCAGAATGTATAAACTCAATCAAAAATCTTTTTAATCTTTTGGCAATTATTGAAGCAAATATTTTATAGTCTGCATTTAATAGGGATATTGGCCTGTAATTCTTTATTTGTGTTAAGTCTGAGTCGTCTTTTGGGATTAGGGTAATATTAGCTTCTGTCCACGTATCTGGTATCTTGGCTTCTAATAGAACCTCATTATACACCTCTAACATTGACAAACTTAATGTATCTTGTAAGTCTTTATAAATTTCTGCTGGTAAACCATCTGGGCCTGGTGTTTTATTGTTTTTTTGTTTTTTTATCGCTTCTACTAATTCTGCCATTGTTACTTTTTCGTTCAACATATTCTTTACCATTTCCGAAACTTTTGGTAAATTAGCTTTTTCGAAGTATTGCATTATTTTTTCCTCTGGTATTTTTTTCATAGTCATATAACTTCTTATAAAACTCGTG